CGCCCGGCTGTTTGGCCCGCTCTCTCCACCCGGGGAAAGGCGATTTAATAAAGGGAGCGGAAACATCGCAGTTCTTGTAAGCCGGAACGGATTGAAGCTCAAGTGGCTTATTTCCCTGCGAGCTAGATAGACGGCTCTATTCGAAATTTTCTCCTCTGCGTGCCGAGCGGAGCAGCCCCTCGCTGGGACAAGATACAAACGAGGCAATTAACGTTCCGGCGCTGCACAATATTTTGACGGATTTTTCCCGCGACATCTTACCTTTCGCGATGTCACGAAAATGCTAGCTTATCGGCGGAAAGTCCGGCGAAGCGCGCGGGCCGAAGTCGGTTTTCGAAGGGAGAACATTCGTTTCGCTAGCGAACGGGAGTTGCATGAAGTTGTTCCAGAAGTGGGAACGGTCCGTTTCGACTATCGGCTTCTTGGAGAAACTCGCCGCGAAGTGGTTAATTGATTTGTAGCGCGACGCTAATAGGAAGCTCGTTGTTTTTCCGACGAATGGGATCGCTCGACAAATGTGGAATGAAAGCGACGTGAACGTGAAAGCCGGGCGGTACATTCTGCATCGGATTCTGCCCGGAATAATTCCCGGGCTATAGGATAAACTCGAGAGAACCGCGAATCGCAAGAAAGGGTTCGCATGGAGAATCAGTTCTATGGAGTTCAGTACAAAAACGCGAGTCATTAGCGGGGAATCTTGGACTTTAATTCTAGTTTCGCCCGAAGTTATGCTTTCCTTTCCGCAGTAACAAAGGCGGAGGCACGGCCGGCGCGTAATGAAAAAAAATAGCGCCGCTCCATTTTTCGAAGCTCGGCCGTGCTCCGTTGAAATTACGAATTTATACGAATTCACCGGGATGCTGTTCATTTCTCATCCGTTATTGAAGGGACGACCGAACCGCCAGGAATTAAGGGTTTTTCATTTCAACCGCGGCTCCGGCTGTTTCTCTTTTTAACGGGCGCGGCTAAATTGCCGCGACTCGCGGGCCGAATTCATTAATTTCTGGCGTTTTCGACTGTGAATAATTAGCATCAACGCCCGCCGGCCGGCGAAGAATTAATTTCTTCTCAGGTAACAATTACCGGTCACGGTAGATTTCCCCTTCATAATGATTAAACCGTGTGTAACGCTCCGAGTGGCCGTCGGTGAGGAAAATCTGACTGAAAACGCGAGCGATCCATTATGCAAAAGAAACTCCGGTCCGCATACTTACGAACCATTTGTTCAAGCGGCGGCGACGATATAATCTTATCTCGGAATCGAGTGAACCAATCCTTATTTCGAGGCCGCCGCCATTAGTCTACATGCATTAACGTTTCGTTCCCTTACCTTAAAAACGCTGCTCTCGATAACCCTTAGGACCTGCAAACACGAAACGGAGATCCTTTAGTTATAGAGAAAGCCGATCAAAGGTTAAAGATATTCCGCCGCTGTTGCATTAAATAAAGATCAATTTAATCTAACGGTTGCCCTGCGTTCGAAGCGATCATTATTTAAATAATGCATTTACCGCGCGCGCGGTTGGATATTCATAAGCGAAACGCAGCGAAGCGATTCCATCGCGACGTGTTGCTTCGAGTCCCCCAGCGTTCACGAGGTTTTTGTCACCCGCGGCGGGTTTTACTGCACGCTAGGCTAAAGTTCGCAAACCGGAAGTTTGTCGCGTACAGGGAACGCGCTCGCCGGCGAACAAAGACACGGTGGGTTGTAACGAATGTTGAATATCGTGGGTGGCTGCTCCCCCGCCGTTGCACGGTGTAAATGTAAGCGCGGCCAGGCGAACGATCGAGAGATTGACGCCTGTTCAGGCGAGAAACTCCGTGACCGGTCGTTCCGGCTAATTGCGATGAAAATTCCGCTCGCCCGGATACGAGACAATTTCAAAGACCGTCTACAACTAGTAATGAGAGGTTCGTTAGAAGTAGCATATTGATCTGATTATTTCAATGAATCGAATCGATGTATATTTCCTAATCGCTCGTAAATCGAACGGAATAGCTCAACGGCATTAAATATAGAAATCAATCGAAAATAAGCAACACTAAAACTATCGACCTAGTGAATTAACTTATTTACAACTTCATTCCCTCGTAACAGCATAATTGATCATTCAACCAATCGCAGAATACAAATTTCCAAACGACTTTAACCACTGCTGGCAACGAATTGAGAAACTCGACAGGATTTCGCGCGAGGAATTTTGTCTTCGCCTATTATATATAGATATGTACACAAACGTCGTTTACCAATAATTTTGTACGAACCGGTAGATTTCAGAACAATCCGGAATATGTAATCCAGTGAGATTATCGACGTGTAACACGTCTTTCCAGCGCAAGTGGTTAAACCGTCCAATAATTCCAGTGTCGAAACCATGGATGTAACCGTTACATTCCGAAGATGATCTCTGTCTAACAAGCGGCGTACACTCTCGGCCGACACACAAGTTGGAAAAGGGAAGAAAACGGCTGGCCGGCCTTAATTAAGTTCCAATGGGAACAGTTTAAAACATCTCGCACGTTCTGCCCCCGCCCAAAACTCAATCAGCGAGTCCTTAAAGGCAGCCGGTCGTGCGGAGCGTCCGCGCTTAGCAAATAGATAAACTTGGCCGGGAAGTTCCGGACAAAAGTGGCCGATGACTCGCCGCCGGGAAATGTTCAGATACGAAAGTCGTTCTCGTGTTGCACGTGCGAATCGGAACCGTGGAGATTGGAGGGCGGAGCGCAAAAACTTCTCAAAGTTCTTTCGAGCCCGGCCAGAGACGAGATTCTCGCCACAGGATGTTCCACGGGTCTTGTTGTTGTCTTCCCAGGGGTCTTCTTACCAAGCGATGACTTGTTTCTCACGTACACTTCATTAGGTACCCCTCCGCAGGGACATCGGACCCTCTTCGGAGACCGAGATTACTTCTTCTTGAAAAGCAATTTTGTTGCCGTATCTAAACGCGGGAGAAGCCACGAAATCGGGGAGAATAGGTATCCCCGTTCAAGGGTCGGGATCGCGCTATCTTCCCGGGATCCTGTTATCGTGTAAGCAACGCCGCTGAAAGAGATCCGCCCGTCCTCTGCGGCTAATGGAATTAGAATCCTATTTCGCGACCGCTAATTGCGTCTATAATCTGAAGCGAATCTCGTGCCCCAAAGATGCTAATCGATCTTACTGCTCGGATACTCCCGATATTCGTATTAACCGTTTGCGGCCCGATACCGTCGTAATGGCGGTTGCGAGCTTTGATATCTGAGATTGAAGGCTGCGAGTAATTTAATTATTCGAATAATCGAAAACTGGCGGGCCTAGATATTCCCCGGTAACGAAGCTAGAAATACAGCTGACAATAGATCGAACGGGAAATCGGTTGAAAGGGAACGGTCGAACAGCATACGCGCGCGTTCTTCGCTGAAATTTTTATAGGCGTAGAACGTAACGAACCTCGCAACGCGAACGCGATATTTTCAGGCCGAAAGGATTTCTCCGTTATGAAGACGTTAATTGCGCGTTCCCGGTTAATTACTCGCGTTATCCTGCACAGGAGTGCGGCTAAACTACGTAAACGCGGAACAATTACTTAAACGGAATACGGTGATGAGATGATGAGCCCGAATGGCGTATTACGGAACCGCTGTAACGTCGAAACAATTACGTCAGCGACGGGGGTGGCGGGTGCCGGCCGATTAACGCGGTTTTATAAATGATTCCTCGCGAAGCGAAGAGATCGCTGGTTGATTCGCTTGAGCCCCGGTAAAAGTGCGCGGACACGCGATCCTGATATTGTTGCAACGGCGCAAAATTGAGCGGGGCCAGCCCGCCGAGGATTGTAATTTTAATTTAACGACGTATAAAAATGTTATTAAGTCATAGGTAGGTGGGGACACGTGTATAAGAGGAGGACGATAAAACAGGTAATAAAGTTGCTATTAAATTTTAGGGGTGACGATGGCGGGGGGAAGGGGGTGCGTAAATTGTGGCTGACACGAAGCGCGAACACGGGCCGCGATAAATAAAGTGTGACGCGACGAGAGCACTCGACGGGCGGCGCATGAAAAATCGCGAATATCGTTTTTATGTTTTCTTAACTTCGTTTTCTTTTCATGTTCCATCCCTAGTTAACCCGCCGCGGCGCGCGTCACGCGAGAAACGCGATGTCTATCCGGCTCGACAATTCATTTTAATTAATTAACGGCGACGCGCGTTCGCAGGAGTGCGCAGATTCAGCTCGTGCCGCCGGGACAAAAGGCGATCGTTCTAATTGTGCGCCAAGCATTTCACGCATTCGCGACCGATTGTTTGGCCACCGTTCCCCTACGAGCCACCCACGGCGACGGTAGCTACACGCCACGCGCGCGCGCCTTCTTCTCGCGTGAGCCAGCATCCACCGCCTGGAAATTTTGATCCGTCACGCGCATTAATCCCCTAACGATTGTCCCCGGCCAACGGGTCGAATTTATGACGACGCGCCGAAACCGGACTGAAATTGAGTCCGTCAGCGATAATTCGATCCTCGAATCCCCTTCGCATCGCGGCCGGCAGTACAAACCGTTACGAATTTCGATTTGTCGCCGCGCGGAAGTTAACCGAAATGGCGCGCTGCAAAATAAAACAGCTTCCGCGGGGGGGAACGCTGAAAGTTCGGAAACCGGCGAGCGCCGGGTATTAATGTTTGACGCGTCCAGCGCGGACGCGTTTCAACGTGTACGCTTACACGAGCGACGCCGATTCGCCGGCTGACAATCGGCGACGGAATTAAACGCGGCGGCTTAATCACCAGAAAATATTTGTCGTCGCGGTGAAACGCGCCTCGTCCGGCGACGGGTAATCGCATTAACGTCCCGCGTTAGACGGCGAACTTACCTCGCGGCGTTATTACATTTACCGAAGCCAAACGAGCCGAGTCGCGTGTTCTTCCACTCGTAAAATTCCTAATTGATGCTGAACGAGGGGTTCGCTCATAACGCGCTCGCGTTAAAAACAGAGCAAATTCGCGCGGTTTCGCAGCCGAGAAGCGATTCATTCGAGAACACACTTGTCGCCACTGTGCGAGCTTTTTCCGCGCCGTGAACGCGCGGAATGAAAAACCGACGGTTAGCCTCGATTACAAATCGTCGAGGTGAGGAGAGGAGGAAGAAAAAAAAATGTAATCCGGCCGCTTTGAGTTCTGGGAACGTAATATTGACACACGGAAAGTTTACCGTGTCGCGTCGGAATGCCGCCGCGATCCCCAGCTGGCGGACAACGGGCGTTCCCGTCGCAACGATGAATGTTTCGTATTAATTAAGCTGCAGTAACAGTTCCGCGAACTTGCAAGTATATCCGCGTTTCGGGGACAAACTGACGAGCCGCAGATTGCTACCGGTGAAACCCGCACAGGTGGAAATCGTCGGAAACAAGATCGAGGAATCAAAAGATTGAATGAAACGCCACTCGCTGGAAATGCGATCTTCGCTCGCCGCTATTTGCGATGAAACGCTTCTCTACAAATTGTATTCATACTCGTTCAAATGAGCAACGATGTGGTGCGAATGGATCGGATGCTCACGCGAAATGGGTCGAGTTTATTTGCTGTAACCGAAATAAATTCCCTTGATCGGACGCAACCGTGGCTATATAGAATTCGGTCTTTGACCGTTTCGGTTTGTAACTGCGGCCGTAACTTCCCCAATGTTGCAAATACAGCTACATTCTTCCTCGCATCGGCGATACTTGGCAAACCAGATCCTTTTAACCGAGTGTACAGAGAGTTTCGGTTAGTCTCTGTTGTTGCCAATAGCATCATGAAGTTGCCAGATAGTCGCTGGTTTATGCAATGGCCGGATTCGCTTGAATCTCACCGCCGCGATCAAACGGGAATCGATGTTCCCCGTACACAACGGTGTGTCTTCCTAGCAACATCTATTTCTGAATTTTCAAACTTTCTTCTGTAGCCTTAACGACTGTGTTAACAGTAGAACGACCGTACCAATCAAGCTTACCGGTTCTGGTTTCCTTATTTCGCAATTATTCTTATCCTAAGTACTAAACCTACTAACTGATTAAAAGAATAAATAGCTTCACTTGAATACTGTAATAAATGTCTCAAGAAACTGAACAAAATCTCTTACCACAATTTTCAGAGAATTGTAGGATTGAGAAAATGTATCAGCACTTTTAACGATAAATAAAAGTTTAATAAAAAGTTCAGTCGTTCCAAACATTTCTCCGTCGCATCTATCCAGGGATCATCCTGTTTGCCATCATGCTTTCCCTAGACATACCGGCGCCACCCCGTCGCAAAACGCCGGGCACACACCCAAACAATTGTGCATTCATAACTTGAGACACTAAACATTACACTGCAGCTACTTCATCGCGACTGACATACTCTATTG